ACCCCATTTAAATCCTTTGTCAGCCTAGCCAATCTTTGCATCTGACGGAAGCGAGATGCAGTTCATGACTTTTAATAGAATGGGCTCGTCAGAAAAGGTGCTACCAGATTCCTTCTGTAAAACTGAATACATGTTATAGCCTTGGAGATTGCTGGAGAATGGGGGAGTGGAAACGGGGCGTATAGAATGGTTGCACTTTAACCTAAAAGTCCCACTTTAAATAAAGTATTATTTCAGTTTCTAAAAAATGATTTTGTTGAAATTTGTTCCTTGCCACATTTAAACCAGGAGGTGGCACCATCTTACCTTTTCCAGCTGCTCCATGCATGCGTTGTGGACCACAATCTTGCATGCTGCGCATTTTCTTCGAACAGCTGACTTCTGAAACATTAGCAAAAGAAAAACAAAGCAAAAGTAAGAGTCCATTTGTACAGGGATGTGCATGTATAATAAACATTCTCTATTCTTAATTGTTTTATATCCAAAATACATATGCAAAAATGCATAAGTGAATGAAGAAATGTTGACTTATTTTGTTTTTATTTTCCTTGCCAGACAAAAGAGCAAAGTTTTGCTATAATTTCTCTCTCTCCTCCAATTCTTCTCCACAGCAACAACCCTGTGAAGTTGGCTGGACTACATGATAGCATCTGGTCCAAAATCACTCAGTGAATTTCCATGGCTGGGTATGGATTCAACCTAGACTTCCTGGTTCTAATCCAACTACTACATTACATTGGCTTAAAGCTAGGAAAATGAAAATCTGTTAAAATAAATCCCATCCAGATCTGGTGAATACAGAGAAAAATCTGGCCCCAGTAGCTGTTCATCTCAGTTTGGAAGGTGAAGAGACACCAGGAAGATTTCACCTGCAGTCTCCAATTTACTAATCAAAACAGTGCACAACAATAGAGGCATTTCAGATCAAGGAAAACATCTTATCTCCCACCTCAAAGCAAGCACAATCACTACTATTTTGGTTGATGTATTTTCAGGAAGGAATATTTCAATGTTCCTTTGCTAAATGTGCTGCTTTTGCATGATGATTTGGGTATTTTTCCTAAAAAAAAACTAATCCAGAAGCATCCAGTGGAGACTGAGGACAGAATGTGAATTACAAATATGTAAATTTATTTGTTTGCAAGCAAGTATTAGCTGAGCAACTTCTCAGGGACATGTTGAGCCTAAATTCATTTCATCACGAATGAAAACAAAAACTAAAATATCCTGCCCCTGGCAAAGCCGCTCATGACTCATTAGCCATGAACAGCAGTTCAGTTTTTCAGAATGTTTCTCCACCTTCTTAAGAATAAGCTGAACAAATGCAGACTGCAAACTAGCTTTTGAAGCAGCCCCATTTCTGTCTCTGGCAAATGTATCTGTCATTAGAAACTGAGCAAGGGAGAAAAAGCTGTGCGCCTGTAGGAACTCTGCACTCACAATACTTTCCATGAACAGGCTGTCACATTTTATAACCCAAACGCATCGACAAACATTCTTATAAATGTTCAGTCTTATTGTCAAACACTGCACTACTCAACATGTTTTCTTCATTGTCTCACGTTCTCCATCTTTTCTACAGCTGGATTTCTACTGCTCATGGTTCTCATGGCAAATAAAGAGATGCATCAGAGCATTACATCAGAGTATTACAAATTCTATTAGCATTCTGCACTATGTTGCACATGGTAGATTTTCCCAAGCTAAAAGCTCGTCCTACGGTTGAGGATCCTTCACCTGCTTCAGCAGGGTATAATATATTCATCTTTGTTTCTAGTGTTAAAGAGGTTCTTTTCCTATTCATTTCAAGTAAGGGGGTTGGACAAATGTTGATGGCCATTTGGACCCCATAATATCAGTAGTAGCTACTGCAGGTGCAGAAGTAATCAAGGGACCTAGGAAAAAAGTCTCAATGGGATGGTAAATGTGTGAGTGAGGGCAGAAAGGGGGTTTGGTGGAAAAAATGTCTTTGGTATTGATGGAAAGAAGTCTTGGCATATTGCCAGACCTTTGATGCAAATTGACTGTGCTGGCACAAATGGAATCATGGGGGGGGGTGTTTTGTTTGTCTTATACATAAACCAAATTCTTGGACTAAAATGATCAATTGTGTAATAGTGAATTTGCATGCAGCGAGGGAAGCCTGTAGACATGAGTACAATCTACAACTCCTGCCTCTTCATCCTATATGCCTTCACTTGATTTTTTCAGTTAACTTCTTTCATGGGCCTAGTGCACATAAAATATATAGTCATGAAGGTGCTATTAACAGCTCTCTAGCAGTAAGGTACATACAGCAGCTTGTACCTTACTTTGCAAATAACAGTTTTGATACTTGATTTGGAGCGGTCCATTCCAAATCTGTTGCTAAGATTTGGAGGATTTCTATACTTCTGATCTCTAGCATCACCCAGCCATCACTATGGTAATATAAGGCCTCTCTGCACTAATGATATATCAAGATGACAGAATGACAGTATAAAGCCATCCTTGGACTACAATCTTATACAGGGAATCATGCCACATTCAAAAATTGGGTTTTACAGTTCATATCTTGACATACAGTTTACAGCACTGATTTAATGTATGGTTCACTATCAACAATCTTTCCTTAATAACTTGAACCATGTTAGCCAAACATTTTAGCTTAAAATTCAACATTATAAAATGTCTTACAATATCATAAGCTTCCAGTAATTGTGGTTTTTTGCTATTTTAGATTTGTTGTTTATCCACCCAGGTTTCATTACCTGTACTTGATTCTTCTACCTGTATCATTTCTTATATTCTTTTAAAAATATAAACAAATAAAATGGGGTGGAGGAATGACACTATAAATTGCTAGAGTGGAAATCCTCAGAGAATGCTCAGAAGGAAGACCATGGACTGTGGTGTGATCCTTCAGCAATTAGCATTCAACTGAACAGGCTCACAGGTCACCTGATCACAGTGTTCCCTATTAGAGGAGAAGCTTCATCAAGATTATTGTAATAGTTTCTAAATTATATATAAACCAATATAGGTGAAACTGATACAGAACTCTGTCTTTTGATCCCCTTTGCTGGCAGTCTCGAAGTGGTCATCATATTCCATGACATCTGATGGATCAATCAGGTTCCATAATTACCACCTCCATCTAAAGCACCCAGATGTACGGGTGCAATCCCATCATGTTCCAGTGGAGTGAGTTCACTGTGTGTACATACAGTCAAGTGATGCTACGACAGAAATTATGAAAGCAGGACACTCACAGAGAATTTGACTTGACAGCCTTCCTCTCCCAGGTAGCACAAATCCCCAGATACATTGGTCTCCAGCCAGAGATGTTCACCATTTATTGCATTTTCCTGGAAGGACAAATACATGCATAGATTACTTCTTAAACTGAAAGGTAGGATCACTTCTTGGGTCTTCTTGTTAATACTATACTTTCATAAATTAACTATTTAGCACATTTATATTGACAGATCTAATTAGCTATGTTATGTTAATACAGCATTAATAAGGTGACTCAAGATAAAAAACTGACACTGTCTATTAAAATGTGACCAAGTGAATTCTAATAGCATATTTATATGTCATTGAGGTTTTTTTAAAAATAAAATATGTTAATCCTTTCCATGCTTCCCTGAAGTAAGTCCCATTTAACACAGTGGCTCTTATTTCTAAGTAAACTTACATAAACCCATGCTATTTAAAAGACTTACACAAATGGAGAAAAACTAGTGAGCTCGCCTGTTTGCAGAAATTAGCTAAAAGTCTGAGGCCAGTTTTAGGAATTTCTGGTGTGTATTTTGTTGTGGTTTTATTGTGTGTGGTTTTTTTTAAGCCTGTATTTCAAAATGCAAGGTTACCCAATGCAGCTGACGGTTATGCAAATAATAGAAAAGTTGCATGTAAAACTCTGTTCAGTGCATGAGATCCATATCTGAATCTGAGCTTGCTGGAATAACAGATAATGGCAGGATTTACATCTCATTCTAAAGTTTATGCAGCTTCTTCATCCCAGCCATTAAGCAATTAAGCTTATTCCAAAGCTGATTACCAGGGCACCTAGTGTGACTAAATAAGAAAATGTCTGGGTTCAACACATTACACTCAGCCACAGTTAACTGTATAACTCCAACCAGTGTAATTTGTAAACTATGGTTTATCGTTAAACATCTTGGGTGAACTGAGACATTGTGATTTATTTAATAAACCATGGTTACACATGCTATGGCTTAGCAGATATGCAAACCCAGCCTTTGACTCATTGTAATTTCCTGCTTTCTTTATTCACACAGCCAAAGGAAAAATAAAACTGCTCATAAAACCTTGCTTTATCTAGCAGACATTTAGTGGTCCCAAGCATCTCATTGCCTCCATCCTTTGGGGCACATTCATGATGACATTATCAAAATGCAGGTACCTCAATCATTCCCACATTCATCTAAATGCATACTTTCTGCTCGTCCCAATTAATATCTCAAAGGCTCAGATAATCATTTGATTGCTTCAGATCCTCAGATTTGATTGATTGATTGATTGATTGGTTTTGTGCCATCAAGTCATCTTCAACTCCTAGCAATCACATAGATAGATTTTCTCCATGACGATCTATTCCTATCAGATGCTCAGAAGACACCCCATAATTGACTGCCATTATAATTGGCACAAAAGAATGTGAATGACATTTGCCTAATAGATTTTCATTGGTATATCAATTCCATGCTTTAGGAACTTGAAGCTTGCAATTCAGAATAAATTTAGGAGGAAAAAACAAAGTGGTTTTGACACAAGCTTTCACAAGCAAACCAAAAAAACAGATACAAATGTATGAAATGAGAAAACCATGTGTGTTTGTGCATGTGTGTATACACACACACATACATATACACACACAAACATAAATACACACATATACACAAATGCACACCCACACATACACACAAACATGAATGCACCATCAAATTCATGGATAGAAATTATCTGCCAATGCATTACATGTTGCATTCCTGAGAGATGTTTTGGAGATGCTTATAGTGAAAAGTAGTATCTGGAGATGACAGCTACGTACAGCAAGTCTAAATTTTCAAAATTTAGCAGATGTCTCCCTTTCTTGGGTAGTGAACTATGCCTGGGCAGAGAACTGGGGCCATAATGTGATGTCCATGGGCCCTCCCAGCACCTGACTTTTAAAAAATATTTTTTTTAAAAAAATGGAAGCTATCACAATGCAAAGTGAACTACCAACTCCATTTTTATTCCCCAAAAGACCTCTGAGCCCCACATGGATCCCATAAACGTTTTAGAAAATAAATATGGCACATGGCTGCAAGCTATAGGTATGTTTGACAGTGTACCCACCAGCCCAGAAGAAGGCAAAAATTAACTGAGACCCTGAGGTTTAAAAGGGAAGGCAAAGGACATTCTAGCCACATTGTCTTCTGATAAATGGGTGTTTTATCATTTTCCATTCTCACCACAGAAGCTACTGTATAATAAAGGTGCAAAATTCTCCTTGAAAGACATTTTCCAGGACCTCCCAGAGCAAGCTATCAAAATCTGTGTTTTGCTCATTGGCCCAGGAAGGATGGAGACCCTCCACTGGAAAATGGCCATGGTAAATTCCAGTTTAGTTGGCATTCAGCATACCCCCAGTCAATCCCTATATCCAGATTAATGGAAGTACACAGACCGTTCAGTACAACTAGCAAAAATATATAGCATGATCTTTATTTATTAAACATTAGCTGGATACACTGTACAGACCTGAAATTTTGGCTTCCATTTGAAAAAAAAAAGTCACAGATGATTTCTGTGGGATTTCTGACACCCAGCCAGATGGTGTCTGATAGCAAATTGCTTGCAGATCACCTTTAAACTCATTTTCAATATCCCTTATCGCTTAAACTGCTGAGTTATGAAATGCTTTCCTTTTACCAATGGCACTCATTAAAAAGAAACTCAGCCAAATGGCAAATTTATTATTAAGACTGCAAAAATAATTTAGCAGTAATAACCAAAGTCACTCCTTTTTAGTCCAATGAATTACACAATAGAAGTAAGAAGTCTGAGAAATATGAAAGCCTGCAACTGCTATGTAACTTTGATTGAAAAAAAAAATTACTTTTTTTAAAAAGTCATATCAATAAAACAGTTGGCTCACTACAACTCAGCTGTTTAAAGCAGAAAATACCAAAACAAACCTGTGTTTATCTTCTTCCTGTGGATTCATGTTCTATATGTCTACTCAGAAAACCTATGAGTTTAAATAAATAGATTTTCTTAGCTGCACAAGCTGGAAGGCGTACACTTTTTTCCTCCATAAATATTAAAATATGTCACATAAATGTAAAGGGAAGGTTGCAGTCTGTTTCAGAGTTTTATCACACAGTGGTAGCTTGACTTCACAATTCTCAGTAGAGCTGGGCCAGGATCAGTGGCTTGTGAAAGCTTGGCTCAAGGGAAAAGCATGCATGCTTCAAATCCTTCTCCAAACTGAAATCTGAGCTGGAGAAGCAGATTGAAAGGAAGAAAATGATGAAGTCTGTCATGCGCCCTAGTATGACAGTACATTTCTATGCCATCTTTCTTCCAGGAAGCTCAAAGAAGCACAAATAAAGGGCTCTTCTCACTTCATCTTCACAGCAATCAATTTGAGGAGATAACTTGGCTCAGAAACAGGGACTGGCCCCAGTGAGCTCCATCATCACATGAGGATTGAACTGGCATCTCTCCACTCCCAAACCAAATCATTGTATCATACAGGCTTATGGCTTGTGGTTTTTCCCTAATCCAACCATATCCATCCAAACCTATTTGGTTTTGTATTTATTACTAAATTTACACCTTGCCATTCTACGAAAGTGAGTAGTCAAGGTGGCTTATAACAATAAAACAAAATACAGTACATTATATAAACATGACAAGAAAATCGGTGTAATTTAATCATTGCACTGGATATAGGAATATGGGGAGGCTGCAGGGCAAGCAGGCAGGAGGAAGAAGAGAAGATGTTGGATTGTGCGAAGCATTCCAAACAGCTGCTAGTGCACTTCTCTTTGAAGCATTGAAGCAACCACCATTTTGCAATCACCTTCAATGGTGACACCAGTAGAGGAGGTGTCTGGACACACACAAATAAAAAGGGGACAACTTTTGCAGTACAGTAGCTGCATGAGCCTCTTAAAGGTCTTTGCTGCTTTTTTTTTCTTCCCAGGATTGAGTTTATTTTCAATTAACTCTTGTCAGTCTGTATGCTGCTAAGCCAACCTTGAAACCAATCCAATTAGTACAAGCAGCCCTTTGAACATAAAAAGAAGAGAAAAATAATTCCTCCTCCTCCTCCAGGGCAGCCACAAATGTCCCCAAACTGTTGGAGATGTCCAAGTGCAGTGTTCTCCACATTGGCACCTCATTCCAGCCCTTGGCATCACCCACATGGTCTATACCATGGATAGAGAGACACTGCAAGTGGCTGCCCATTTGTGCCAGAGCCAAGGCCTCACTAGGGGACAAAACTCACTGAGAGTAAGGGTGCTTTGCTCATCATAACAGCTTGGCAAAGCGTAAGCTCTGACCACAGACCCCCTCAGTTTTTCCCTCTGGAACTTCTTAATGCCCCTCCTTCCTAATTAATTATATCATTTAAGCACCTCCTAAAGGTCAGTCTTTTCACCCTGGTCTTCCTTATGTGAAAAGGAAACAGAATTTCCCTTGAATGTATACATGTTATGTTATTAGAATATTCTTCTTATATGTTTACAATAAGGAAAGGTTGCATAGGAAAGATAGTAATGCTAGTTCCTGTCAGAATAAACAAGTGAATATATCATGGATCAAAATCTATGTAAAGGAAGACATATCTTATGTATAAAAAAACACATGTATAGAAAAGATAAAAAGCCCATTGTTTTAGCTCTAGACAAAGAGACGTCTGTTTAACTATAAATAAGGAAGTTTGCCATAACTTTAGCATAAGGAAACATCTGTTTTAGCAAAGGAAGGAAGGAAGGAAGGAAGGAAGGAAGGAAGGAAGGAAGGAAGGAAGGAAGGAAGGAAGGAAGGAAGGATTGTATAGGAAGAAGATGCTCATGCTGATAGATCAGAAAACTATTGTAATAAGCTAAAGCATTGCATTCCATTCCATTGATAATGATAGGCTAAATTCCTATAAAAAGGGAGACTGAAAGGTGTTCTTCATGGCCACCCATCCAAAGCTAATAATTTTGGATAGAATAAACATATTTCCTTTGACTCTCCATTGGCTGTCTGGTGGTTTCTATTAAATTCCTGGCTTGGGACACGAACAGAGAAAAGGAAGGGATCTCGTACTTCTGACAATATTAACTGCTTTAACACTGAAGACAAGCAATCAAGCAACTATTTGGTTGTAAAGCACTGTGAAATATTTTAGGGAAGCAATATATAATTATTCATAATGCCTAGAAAGCAATGCAAGGCGGCTGTAATACAATGAACAATAGATTTAAGAACCTGAGACCTTAAAAGTCTTCAAAAATCATAATAAAAAGGATCATTTCTGCATTAATCTCAGATTAGTATTGGACTTCTTGCTCATCTCAAAAGGCATAGTTTCCGTAAAATCTAGAGGGACAAGAAAAGATACGCATAATAGGGATATCTTCTGAAGAACCAAACAGCTTGCCAAGACTGAAGGATGCCATGCTGGCTGGGGAATGCTGGGAGTGGAAGTCAACACATCTTAAAGTTGATAAAGTTGAGAAACCCTGAATTAGAGAGTCGGCTTATCCATGGATGGGCTTATCCACAAATATGTACAGTAGTAAATTTATAGAGAGAAAGAAGGGAGCTATGATTGCATGTCTAACTCAGATATGACTCTGGGTAGTGTACAAAAAGGGAAGAACAAATAATAACCATTAAGTACAAAAGAAAACAACACATGCCATTAAGACCTACTAAGACCATATGTAGCCATCAGAACTGAAATATACTATAATTGTTCAAACTGGAAACTCTCCTGACCCAAAGGTCCTACAGCATCCTCTGCCTATTTCATATATCATAGAATCATAGGCTTGGAAGGGACCTTGGTGGTCTTCTAATCTAACCCCTGCCCAAGGCAAGAATCCTTTTACAAATGGCTGCCCAACTTTGCTTGAAAACTTCCAATGATGGATCCCCCCACAGTTCCAGAAGGCAAGCTTAACAGCTCTCATGCTCAGGAAATTCCTCCTTATTTCAAGTTTGGATCTCCCTCTGTAAAACATGTACTCCCTGATGTTCAACCTATCCTCAGGAGCTATGGAGAACAAATCCACACCCTCTTCTCTGTAACAGTCCTTCAAGTATTGGAAGACTTTTATCATGTCTTCCTTTAGCTTTCTCTTCTTTAGATTTAACATACCTAGTTCCTTTAACTGTTCTAGAGGTTAGTCTTCAAGCCTCTTATAGTCTTTGTCACTCTACCTTATATGCTTAGAGACAATGTCCACACAGGATTTGATTGTCCAAAAAAATATTTATTTCATGGGAATTAACTGCTCCCATTGCATAACTATGAACAATATACAGTGCATAATTCCACAGAATTTTTAAACTGTTCTAGGATAAATTCTAGATTAGTATAAACACTAATGGAGAAAGTATTATTAGTACCTATGAAAATACAGTTCAAAAAATTATACAAATTCTAGTTTCTAGTCAACTACTTTCTAGTCATAAGTGCAAGGACCAATTGTAAAGTTACTTTTTCAGCACCATCGTAACTTCAAATGCTCGCTAAACAGGGCAGTTGTTAAGCAAGGACTACCAGTATGGTTTAGTTCCATTAGCAATCTTTCACCAAAAAAAAAAAAAAATTGCCATAGGAAATAAATCTAGAATATGTAGATGGAAGAAATAACATAAAATAACCTTTTATGAGAGGCAGACAAAAATATTTATGGTGAAAAAGCTATCCATTTTTAATTTTTTAAAGAAAAGTTTTAACCTAATATTTACAGTATATTTAAAAGAGTTGCTCTGTTTTCATATTCTGCCATGCCTTTTCTTAGTTATACCATTTCTTCATGTTCCCAGTCTAGATTCCCTAAAGATAAAGGTGGACTATTGTGGGAAGTCATTTCATTTTTTCTTCTTGTATAAGTCCCTCAATAAGCAATAGGGCTGAATTCCCATTGCCTGTATAAATTGTATCATTATTCCAAGAAGGAAAAACTAAAATGTTTCAAAAACACATTATACTGGTCCTCCAGAGACCAGGAGAGTTTTCAAGGCCACTGTAGGCACAATACAAGGTGGTCAGAGAATGCCTTACCCATTAGTGCTTCTCAAATATGATTTCTGGGAATTATCTGGAAGACATGCAATTGAAGATGGCAGCCCTAGATTGTGCATGTTGAAAGACATTGCTTCCTCATGTCCTGTCATCATGAAACTATGAATGGACAAGTGTAATCTTTCTACATACGTATGTCAATGTACCAAGCTGGATGAAAACATTTAAAAAAGCATTTTTGCTAATGTTTCTTAATTACAGGACTGCCTCCATCTAAATAAATCTGGCTAAAATCTATATTGGAGGCATATATTGCAAGAAACCATACAATTTATATTGATGTATCATTCCTAAGAGTCCAGATTTACCCAAAATAGGCTAGCATTCCCCACCCTGGTGTTCTCCAGATGTGTTGTGACTGCAGTTCCTGACATTTTGGGGCAATGCTGGCCATATTGAGTAGAAACTCTGGGAGCTGTAGTCCCAAAGTATATGAAGGGCACCTGACTGAGGAATATTGATCTAATCCAAGATTCAACATTCCAGAAGATGGACAAGCAAACACTTCTGGAAGAGCCAACCAGGGCATAACTGAAACCATCATTCCCCAACAACTGGCATACAAATCGCACATTAATTCTCAACCTTGTACCAGCCCCTCCAAATGGTGTTTTCCAATCATGTTAAGAGAACAACATCCATAATCCCTTTTGCTGAGTTTGGCTGGTAATGATAGTTTTGGGTGAAGCCCAAAACAGTTAGAGATGGCCAGTATAGGGGAAATGAGTAGTGTCATAAAATATTTTAACATTTGAATTCCAAATCTTCCAGTATGAGCAGCACTTTATTTCAGGAACATAAAGGCTGCTTCCCACACAGACAAAAATATCTGGAAACAGTAGAAGTGATACTTAGGTTTAATCTGCAGAAATTAGAATCTTTCCAGTTAGTTCCTATTTTCCCTCCTAAAGAGGCTGTCCCTGACTAAAATGATCCTTGATCCCAGACTGTTTGCAAAATGAGAAACCTTGAGTCTACCAGCATTTTAAAATGTTAAATATCTATGCATTTTTGTCTGTGACTCTTCAAATTTTGCCAAACTCCAATTCCCAGCTTCCCTCACCATTTCCCAGGTTGGCCAGGGACTCCTAGGAGTTACAGGTACATCATCAGCTGAAATGCCATAGGTTCTCCATCCCAATCAAAATGCAAGACAGGTCAGTTACCATAAATTCAAGGGAATGTAAGATCTCTGTAGTACACAATAAATATCAAAACACAATAGTTGCACTACTATTTACATCAGTGACACAGCATTATATCCAGGGTTTTATAAAAGGAACTCCTTACACTCCATTCTAGTGCCATTCTTGGCTCCTTCACTGGTCCATTACTGATGGCCATGTTGAGGTTTTGAACGGGAGCCAAATGTTGAAGGCCAGACCTGGAGATTGCTTTCCTGTAAGAGATGGATAAAAAATAGAAATCTAAAATGATTGAATTTGCCATCCTATTTCATTTTCCCCTCTTAATCTGCATGTAAAAAGCATTTTCAGAAAGGAACCATTCAATCATGTATCACTTCATAAGCTACAGAGCCTTTCTCATGAAATTATTTGGATGTGCAATGTTCTTAACTAAAGTTGCTATCTATACAAATTCAGTTGGAAGAAACACCCGCTAGGCTGACCAGTAATTTGTTCCGAGTCAGCAGGTATAATGACATAAGATCCTCTTTTAGCCAGGAATTGAGGGTGGTTGGGGGTAGAACAAAACATTAGTTTCATTTCAGTTTCAATTTAGTTAAACTAAATTCAGTAGATTTCATTAGGATTTTTTTTAGATCTTTCTGTCATATCTGTATTAATTTCAGTTGGTTTTCATTAGCTGGTTTTGGATAATTGTTCAATGTTGCTGTTTAGATTTTATTTATGAGGATTTCGTATTTTATTTGCATTTTTATTGAACTTTACCTGAGCAGAATTAGTTGTAGGTCACCTGCTAAATCTTAGAAGGAAAAAAAAACTGACAAAGATCTCAGCATCTATAGCAATCTAACAGAAACAATATCATTTTGCACAATTAGTAGGTGTCCAGTACAACCCACAATGTCATCATATGCATCATGACAGGGTTCCTCAACCTCAGCAACTTTAAGATGAGTGGAGTTCAACTCCCAGAATTCCCCAGCCAGCAACGCTGGGGGAATTCTGGGAGTTGAAGTCCACCCATCTTAAAGTTGCTGAGGTTGAGGAACCCTGCATCATGACATCATTGCACAAATGATATGAATTATGTAATTTGTGTTGGTCACATCACTATATATTAAATCACCATGACAATAATTACATTCCTCCAGCAATAAAACTGTACAAAGCAAAGGTCCTGGGTTTGTTGTTATATGGTGCACAATTCTGTGCTTGTAAGGGTGTCCCTACTTTAGAAGCTGCTCGATTTAAGTTTCTGAAAGCCGTACTCGGTGTCCCTCACTCAATTTCAAATGTCCTTTTTCACCTTGAGCTGGGCTGCATTTCTCTTGGGGCCTATCTGAGAATTTGCCTTCTCAGATTTTGGGGTAAACAAATGAAACAAATCCTTTGGGGTAAGTCTCTGGTTCACCTCACCCTACTGAATAAGTTCTCCTCATCCCTGAGGAGGCATATTAATTCTGATCTAGATTGTTGTGACATCTCACTCAGACAATATTGTCTCTTAGCCCAGATAAAGCCTTAATCAAACTCAAACAGAGGATTTGGGGTTTAGATTTATAAAATGACAAGGCCAAGAATCATCCATTCCTATTATGGTGCAATTGTAGGTTCTCCATGGATAATTCCTAGCTACTTCTATAATAGCCTGAATATTTCATATAGGCTTGGCTCAAATTGGTGTATTATGGAGACTATAGACAAATATACTAGTCTCCCCCACCACAATCATATGTGTTTCTGTTCAGATACAGAGATAGAGTCAGTAATCCATGTATTACTACACTGCCCATTGTACCACAGATGGCATCTGGCCCTTGTTTAGTTATCTTTCTGATCAAGAAATTACAACCTTCTTTTCACAAGACCTAACCTGGACAACCCCTACAAAGGTTGGCAAATTTCTTGCATTAGCTATGGCTTGCAGCATCTGGGTGATATCCTCTTCTCATTATTATTTCATGGAGGGGGGTTGTCCTGTATTTTAAATTGTATATATTGGTGTTTTATTGGTGTTTCTGTATTTTAAATTCTGTATTTGTGTTTTATTGGTCTGGGACCGTAAATAAAATACATAAACAAGCCTCTCATTCATCTGTATTGCTACATACACATAATCTTCTTATCTTTGGCTAGCTGCCCTGCTAGTTCATTTTGAATATACATAAGCTTGCAAGAGATATCGCTTTTGTGATTCAAGGGAGATAAAAGTACTTTCTTGCCAATGCCGCACATGTTATTGGGAAAAGCATCGTGTAAAGCCCCTTCCAAGCTATCTAGAATGGACTTTTAAACAATCCCTTGGGCAGTTATTTCAGTCCCTCTCTCTAGTCCCCTTTGTGGAAACTCCACATACGCTTTTTATAGTGCCAAGGCTGCACCTATTCCTGTATTCTTCCTGTTCTATTTATATATTGCATGGATGTACAGATCTTCCACCTCTTTCTTCTCTTTTCTCTAGATCTGCCAGTTTATGTAGTTATGAGACTTGTAATCAGCTTCCCCAGCCTAATTATCAAGTACTAAAAAACATGACATAAACACCCATTATTGAAATAAGTCTAACTCTGCTTGGCAGATATTTTGCTGCGTAATAGCAATGTGCTTTTCTTGCCGTAACATATTGTTGAGAAATCATTTTGACTGAACACCAGTAAACAAGGAGTTTAAAATAATCTATTTTAAAATGTCTCTGAGATTGCATTCATGCCAATACCTGGCTATCATCACAAGAGGGTCTACAGAGAGAAACAGCAAAAGCGTTCTTCACATGCCCTCTTTGGATAACAATATTTCCAAGGCAGCAAACATGAACAGGCATTCCTTCATTAGAACTGATTCGTAGTATGTTCATATGACAAGGTTAAGAGCTTACAAGTTCTTCCCTGATGTTGACCAAAAATAATTTGCCACAAGAAGTACAGCCCCTGAGGGAGTGCTTCCACCCACTATTATTTTCAGAGACTCTGCTGCACTGTTTATATCCAATCCCTGCTTTCATGTAATTCAGCTGTCCTCAACATGACATCCTCTAGCTGTGTGGCTATGTGGTTTGGGATTATATTCAGCTGGAGGATAGCAATTTGGGGAAAGCTGATATGAGTTACATCCCAGTCAGTGGCAGCCTGGGTTATCTTTATCTAGGCTCCAAAACTAAACATGGTCAGGTCTTGATTAGTTATTGGGTGGGAGAACAGAAAGGAACACCATGGCTATAAGTTAGCTTGGGAAGTTGAAACAATATCCTAGAAGAAAGTCGTGGTGAACCACTTCTGTATTGTTGCCCAGAAAAACATAGAAGTGTCCATAAAGCCACCAGGAGTCAAGCTTGGTTTTAAAGAAGCTACTCTTTCCATCATATAGCAGCTGAAAGATATTGTCTGGATTTACCCACTGTACTAAACTATAATGTAGTTTATTTGGGTCTGACTTAGTGTGTTATATGAATCCAGTCAGTGTGATGTGCAAGCATAAATTATGGCTTTGTTTCATATATGAATATGAACCTAGTTTTTGTAGCTTACTGATGTATTTAATCAACAAATCTTGATTAAAACAAATACTACTAGTGCAATATGTGAAGTCGGCCAGAAGTGTTTCTAAAGGTAAATGAATTAATTTATGTCTTCCTGAATGCCATCCAAGGTAGGTTCATTTTCCCTTTCCTTTCCTTTCCTTTCCTTTCCTTTCCTTTCCTTTCCTTTCCTTTCCTTTCCTTTCCTTTCCTTTC